ATCTCTTCCCTGAAATCCAGCCTCATTCCCCACTGCTTATGTGACATCTCTATTTGGATATCTGACTCGGCACCATAGACTCAGCAGGTCTAAAACTAAACAGCTGATCTTATTCCTAAAACCTGCTTCTCTTCACTCTTCCCCACCTCAGTAAATAGCCACTCCATCATTCTTCTTGCTTAGGCCAAAAATTGGAAGTTAAGCTTGACTCTTCTCTTTCTCTCATACTCCTAGTGGGTTCATCAGTAAATCCAGTCACTTTTGTCCAAAATATGACCACTTCTCACCACCAAGCTATGATCATTCTGAGTATTTACATTTTTGCATTAGCAAAAATTGGTTCCTCTGCTTTTGCCTTTGTTCCCCCCGACTCACCCCCCCCTTGCCTGTCTCTGATTCTGTTCTCAACACAACAGCCAGAGCAATCCTTTTAAAATGTAAGTCAAATCATGTCACTTCTCTCTTCAAACCCTCTAGTGACATCCCGTAGCTTCCCTTCTCAGAGTAAAAGTAATCAAAATCATCTACAAATCCCGACCTGTTCTAATCCCTCTGCTTGCTCTCAAACCTCATCTCTTACCCTTCTCCTCCTCGCTCTTAGCTCTAACCATACTGGTCACTTTGTGATCTCCTTGAACACACAAAGATCCTGCATTAGGGCCTTAGGACTTGCTGTTTTTGCATGTTTTTGCAAAGCGGGTACTTCACCTTCTTCAGGTTTTTGCTAAAATGTTAATGTTCCTGAATTCTCATTGACACCTTCCTTTACCAGAGGGAAGAGGAGAGATGCTTTTTTGAAAAACTTTGGCCAAAGATTTGGATTTTTTTTAATCTTGCTAGTGTAAAGTGCAGTATAATAGATTCTGGTTTCTGTAATTAAGGGATGATTCCATTAGTGAAGAAAAACCTAGTTATTTAACCATTATTTACTGAAACTTTGATTTTTTTTTTTTTTTAATATAAGTAGAGAGTTTATTTGGGCCAAGCTTGAAGATTGCAACTCAGGAGTACAGATTCAAGTTGCCCTGAATATACCCTCTGATTAGCAGCAGTTACAAGTGGATTTTTAAAATTATTATTATACTTTAAGTTGTAGGGTACATGTGTACAATGTGCAGGTTTGTTACATATGTATACATGTGCCATGTTGGTGTGCTGCACCCATTAACTCATCATTTATATTAGGTATGTCTCCTAATGCTATCCCTCCCACCTCCCCACTCCCCACAATAGGCCCGGGTGTGTGATGTTCCCCTTCCTGTGTCCAAGTG